TCTTCTGTAGGTTGCTGGGTGTAGATGATAATTTATATAAACCTAAAGATTGATTGTATTTTCTGTAGGTTGCTGGGTGTAGATGATAATTTACATAAACCTAAAGATTGATTGTATCTTCTGTAGGTTGCTGGGTGTAGATGATAATTTATATAAACCTAAGATTGATTGTATTTTCTGTAGGTTGCTGGGTGTAGATGATAATTTACATAAACCTAAAGATTGATTGTATCTTCTGTAGGTTGCTGGGTGTAGATGATAATTTATATAAACCTAAGATTGATTGTATCTTCTGTAGGTTGCTGGGATTGGTGGGGCTTGTGGATTCTACATGTACCAATAAACACGATAGTCGCAGTATTGTCTATCGACCAGAACATTGGACTGCATATGTCCAACCTTTAATTGTGTTGGGTCTCTACTGGCTTGTGTGTTATCTCACTCGGTATAGACTCTTTGAACCAGTGGGTATCATTATTTTTCTAATTAAAAGTACAGAAGTGAACACATTTTTTTGAAGTTAATGGATTGTTTTTAAGAGTTTACAATTTTCACTTTAAAGAACTAACTTCTTTGTATATACTTTACGGAAGCATTTCACTTTTATTACATTTTAAAAATGCTTACTTTTAATTTTTTGTATATATTTCTCAGATAGATTTTTACAGTTAAGACACATATGTGACTAAGCAGAGCTGTATTACCAGATTTTATCTGGTAGTTAGTATGACTGTCATGGTGCATTTTGTTATTTTTTTTTCTGTTAAAAAAAGTTGTAATTACTTTTACTTGAATGAGGTACTTTCCTCTTTTTTTGCAAATGAATTTTATGCCATTTGAAATCATTGAATAAAAAAAGACTAGAATTATTATGGTACCTTTTCTAAATATTGAAGCAACAAATAAACTGAAACTACTTAAGAAAACTAAATATATTTAAAATTAAACTAACATCACATACACAGAATATAAATGGTCTACATGTTTCAACTGGCCTGGTCGTGATACCTGGTCAGTTGTGTAATGTTAGTTTGGTATTTAATGTGTTTATCTGTGCTTAGCAGGTTTATGTTGTTTTATTGAAATGGAAAAAGCTTTTAAATTCAATTAATTTGTTTCATATTGTTAATTTCTTGCCAGAAAATTTGGTAATTTGTAGGGATGCACAGGTAGTAAAAATTGTCCGAATACCGGGTCTGGGTACCCGATCACTAAGCTTCGGCCTAGGCTGGGTGATAACTGGCACCAGTTTGTCCTCTTGCCCCCCCCCCCCAAAAAAAACAACATACACAAGAATTAGAAACAAAAACAAATTGTTTTTTTTTATAACTAAACCAATTATTGACTCTAACTTTCAGTATCGTGTTAGTTGCCACAAAAATTAGGGCTTAAATGCCTAACTTCGCCACTCGGCTGGAGCCGAGTATTACCAAGTAGCCCAATACCCAGCTGGGGTTGAATATCTGGCCGGGTACCCATGCATCCCCAATTATTTGTTTAGTCTTCTGTACTCCTATACATTTACATGCATGTGAGCTGGATCTGGTAATAATTAGTTTCAACACATCTTTTAACTGATCTTCTCTTTATGACAGTTGAATTGTTTCAACACATCTTTTAACTGATCTTCTCTTTATGACAGTTGAATTGTTTCAACACATCTTTTAACTGATCTTCTCTTTATGACAGTTGAATTGTTTCAACAGTTAAAAGATGTGCAACACATCTTTTAACTGATCTTCTCTTTATGACAGTTGAATTGTTTCAACACATCTTTTAACTGATCTTCTCTTTATGACAGTTGAATTGTTTCAATTTATGGCAGTTGAATTGTTTCAACACATCTGTTCCTTAACAATGTATTAAATAAATTGTTTAAACTAACCTCATGCTTCATCTTCTTCTTACTAATGTGATTAATATTGTTTTAGTTTACCAGAATATTGTACAAAACTGTTATATTTTGAGTGAACTATCCACAAAAGGTACGTCCTGGTTTGACATGGCACATATTTAAAAGAGGTTTACATTTTGAAAGACAGGTTTTAGTGCACCATGCAGTCGTAGAACTAGAACTATCAAAATGAAGGTTTGGGTTAAGTTTTATAACATACTGGCCTATCTAGGTGGTACAAGAGTCTGACAGAGGTTCACAGCATGCAGTAGCCAGAAGTGACTCAAACAGAAGCTCTCAGCGCTCCTCTGCCAGCTTGTTAAGACGCAGACGGCGTAACATGCAAGAAGGCAATCAAAGCGTATGTACTAATACAACCCAACTAAACCCTTCCTTTCTCCATTCTATGTCTTTTGCAAATTAGAAAGTTATAATATTTAAATAATTTTTATAATATTATTACATTCCTAATTCACTTTTTTTTTAATACTAATATTGCTTAAACTCAACCTTGTGTAAGAAAGCACATTATGCTAATATAATAATAAATTGACCAACACCAAGCATAATGAAGTGGTTTTTATTTTGGGGAACTTGCTACATGTTTTGATTTGTCAGGAGAAGACGTACCAATGTTCTTTTGAAAAATGTGATATATTCCCCAAATTAACAACCACCCTGTTATGCTTACAAGTCATTGTTCGTCAACTTACTATTAACTTTGAGATGAATAATATTTGTTATCTTTAAGTTTTTCACAAGTTATGTTCTTTCTTATCAAAATATTGCTGTAATTTATTGCTTTTGTCGTTCTCCAAACTGTCCCTTACTGCTTTTTGCTTAACCTTTCAATGTCACTGTTTTTGACATTTGTATAGATAGTTCATCGTATTTATTCCTGTGATTATTTTGTTTTCCCTTGTTTTATATAAACCTTCAATCTGATTGATCTAGATATACAAAATCTGTGACAAACAGTAAATAATGTTCAATAACTTGCAACAGGCAGTATTTAGAATTTGTTTTATAATAAAAACCATGATTCATATGTTCAAAAATATGTTGATATGGGATTACGGGTTTCTAGTTTTTTCATTCAAAGAGTTTAGAATAGAATTATCTGAAAACTTCTAACAGTTCATAATAATTAGTCTTAATTGTGAGAAACGAGCAAACCACAAAAAGCATCTGTGACCTCTCTGTCCTAGGTCAGATAGGTATCATCACTGTAACAATGTTAGACTAAACAAGGCTAGGCTGCAGTAGTTTGTAGTTATGTTTATGTAAGGAGTTTAAAATACTAGTTAGACTAAACAAGGCTAGTGTAAAGTAGTTGTGTTGAATTATATTAACTTCCAATCACAGCAAGCTACTTACTAGGAGCAGTATGAATTATATTAACTTCCAATCACAGCACGCTACTTACTAGGAGCAAC